GCTAGGTGTTTCAAATGTTAATATCATGGAGAAGGTATTAAGAACTGTTTGTAGATTGAGGGGGACTAAAGAAACATGAAGGCTAAGTGAACTTAAATACTTTAGAAAACAAAATTCTCAACTTTTCTGCAAGACATTTTCTCTTAATAAATTAGCATAACCTCAAAAACCAAGAATGATAATATAGGGAAGTTTTAGTCTAATTCCCTTTCCTGTCAACAATATAAAATTTTCATATTGTTTTGGGGCTTGAACTCAAGGCCTGAGCACTGTTCCTGAGCTTTTTCAGTCAAAGCTAGCACTTTATCACTTTGAGCCACAGCTCTACTTAGAGTGTTCTGGAGATTAATTGGAGGTAAGAGTCTCACACACTTTCCTACCTGGACTGGCTTTGAATTTTGATTCTCAGATCTCAGCCTTTTTTTTTTTTTTTTGCCGGTCGTGGGCCTGAACTCTGGGCCTGGGCACTGTCCCTCAGCTCTTCAGGTCAAAGCTAGCGCTCTACCGCTTATGCCACAGCACCACTTCTGGCTTTTTCTGCTTATGTAGTGCTGAGGAATCGAACCCAGGGCCTCATGCATACAAGGCAAGCACTCTATCATTGAGCCACCTTCCCAGCCCCCTTAGATCTCAGCCTCTTAAGTCACTAGGATTACAGGTGTGAGCCATCAGCACCTGGAAAAAATGACAAATCCTTAGCAAAAAACAATTTCAAAAACTCTCAATAATAACAGGTAGTATTTGTGGCAGGAATACATGAATAGATACTAGAAAATTCTACTGGAGTTAATTCTTAAATCATATTAAGCAGATGAATAATGAGCATAAAACAAATTTTCAGTCAATCATTTTTCTAAACATCTTTAAGTAAGCTAGGAATAGAAGGGAAATTAAATAACTCAATTAAAGATACTTATCAGAAAAAAAACTTGGCAACATAAACATCCAATATGCAAACTCCAGAGATTATTCCCTGTAAAACTGAGACTAAGACAATCTGAGCTCTACTAATAGTACTGCTTCCCAAAAGTGTATAGCCAACGTGAAGAAGAATTTAAACATTTTTAAATTCTAGGTGTAAGAACTGGAAAACAAGTTTAACATATTCATGCTATAGAATTAAAACTTGGAATTAGCAAACAGCAAATGAACCTTAGACCTGTCCATAAATTCCTTATATGGGACACTGCTATAGAATACAAAAAAAAATGTTACAAATGTGGAATTTTAAAAAAGGCTAAAATATTGATGACAGGCTATATAAGAAAAATAGAGAAATGTTATTTATATCTCACAACATATAAAAATCATTGAAAATATACTGAGAATCAAAACTGAACACTTACAAAACACCGTGGAGAAAAGCTTTTCAGTTGCTAGGATTAGAAAAATTAAATATTCTTATTAGCATTAGAGCATTAGACAGATGCCAGTGATTCATGCTACTCAGGAGACTGAGATCTGAAGATTGTGGTTCAACGCCAGCTTGGGCAGGAAAGTCCATGAGACATTTTTCTAATTAACCAGCAAAAAGCCGTAAGTAGAGGTGTAGCTCAAGTGGTAGAGGGGCTGGTCTTGAGTGAAAAAAGCTGAGTTCAAGCCCCAGTAACCAGCAAATAAATATCCTTAAAACACCATGATACACTTAAGTCATCTGCATGACAAGAAAAATAACAATTTAGAAAACATCTGCAATGAATATGGAGAACAGAGCATTTACAAAGGGATAATAGAAAAAAATGTCTAACATAGAAATCTGATGGTCAAAGGGTGTAAGAGCAGAAGGTCGTGGGGCCTGAACTCTGGGCCTGGGCGCTGTCCATCAATCAGCTCAAGGCTAGTGCTCTACCACTTGAGCCACAACGCCACTTCCGGCTTTTTCTGCTTATGTGGTGCTGAGGAATTGAACCCAGGGCCTCATGCATGCAAGGCAAGCGCTCTACCACTGAGTCACCTTCCCAGCCCCCAGAGGGAAGATTTTTTTTTTTTTTTTTTTTTAGCAATCACCAAGAAATAACACCTGCAAGTTAAGGCCAGTCAGGACACACACACACCAGAATGGCTGTACAGGACGTGTTCATAAGGGTTCCTGGGTGTGAATGACTGGCAGCCAAGCCAAACAAATCTGTAAAATGCTGGTGAGTGTAGAACTTAATAAAGCTCAGGAACCATCTGGCAATGGCCCCTATTTGTTTCTGGGTGCAGGAACTCACACATCTGGACAGGTATTTAAGGAAACCCTGTAAGCTGACTACAAATAAAAAGAAAAACAAAAACAAAAAAACTAGAAGGGGCCTAACTGCCCAGCAATTAGGAAAGGGAAAAACCAACTATTGTCATTTAAACTATTGTGGTCTCCTCCCCATAACAACTAAAATGAACAAATCAGACATGGATGTGCCCACATTTAAGTTGCAGACACAAAGGACAACTTCAAGTTGTGAAAGACCACAAAATAAAAGCGTGTCTATTTGAAGTATATACCCATTGAAGTTATAAAACCATACAATGCATGATATCCATACTCCGGTCGCCTCTGGAAAGGGTGTGGGCAAGATGTAAAAGCTTCATCTAATGCAAGTAACAATTCTATTTGCCAGCTACATGTGAGCGCTAGGAGTGTGGTAATAACTTATTCACTGCTTAGGTGCACACAAGTGACTTAGTCACTGAGGTTAAGAGAACCAGTAGGCAGGTGATTTTTTTTGGGGGGGGTCCGGTCCTGGGGCCTGAACTCTGGGCCTGGGCGCTGTCCCTCAGCTCTTCAGCTCAAGGCTAGCGCTCTATCACTTGAGCCACAGCACCACTTCTGGCTTTTTTCTTTTTGCTTATGTGGTGCTGAGGAATCGAACCCAGGGCCTCAGGCATGCAAGGCAAGCACTCTACCACTGAGCCACCTTCCCAGCCCCTAGGCAGGTGATTTTTACACTGAAATAAAACGCAGACCAAGGAGGAATGCCCTCAACAACAAACTGGAGTCCATGGGTGAAATAAATGCAAATCTCTTCTCCAAAACAAATGCCACTCTTCCAAGTGACATTCATTTCATTATTTTTAACGAACTTCACTTTTATCCTCAGGGAAATGGACTGATTTACAACTCCTTTGAAAACAACCCAGATGTGGTGGATCGCACCTGTAATCCTGAAGAATGGAAGTTCAAAACCAGCTTGGGCAATAAAAGTCTACAAGACTCCATCTTTTACTAGCAAAAAACTGGGCTGCATGCATGGCTCAAGTGGTAGAGCTGCAGCCATAGCAAGAAAGCTGAAAGTTTAAGCCCTGATACTAGTACACACACAAAATCACTCACTGGACAAAAATGTATTTTGTAAACATTATCTAGCTAGATGTGGAGAAATGCAAGGAGACCGGAGACCATGAACCCCTTCTGGCTCATTTAATCCATATAGCTATGACATTTTCCCCCTCATTTTACAAGAAATTGAGGCAGTTTAAAGCTCATTCCCAAACCACCATGCTGACAACTTTGTATGGGGTGTAACTGCAGCTCAACTATAACCTGAAGAGTCATCATCTCATTGCTCTGCATTACAGTGCTCTCTCTTGTTCCGTTTGGCTGTCCTCATATCAGTTTTCCCACATACTCACTCAGTGGCATCAGACTAAAAGATAATAGTTGTAACTTTGGAGCTAATAATCATTCTTCTTAGAATGACTTAGAAAGAGGAAAACAACAAAAAGTAACCTAAGTAAGAACAAGAAGCTCATTTAAAAAGCATTAAGGTAGCCAAGTGCCAGTGACTCACGCCTGTAATCCTAGCTACTCAGAAGGCTGAGATCTGAGGATCAAAGTTCAAAGCCAGCCAGGGCAAAAAAGGCTCTATGAGACTCTTATCTCCAATTAACCTCTCAAAAACTAGAAGTGATGTGGTGGCTCAAAGTGCTAAGAGCACTAGCCTTGAGCAAAAGAGCTCGGGGCCAGTGCTCAGGCCCTCAGTTCTAGCCCCATGACCAAAACACAAAACAAAAACCCAAACAGCATAAAGGGCCAAATGCTGGTGGTTTATGCCTGTAATCCTAGCTACTCAGGAACCTGAGATCTAAGGATTTCTGCTCAAAGCAAGTCAAGCAGGAAAGGCTCTTATCTCCAATCAATCACAAAGAAAGCTGGTATGGGAGCTGTGGCTTGAGTGGTAGAATACCAGCCTTGAGTGTAAAAGCTAAAGGACACTGCCTAGATCCTGGGCTCAAACCCCAGTACTGGCATAGAAAGGAAAAAAAAAATTAAGGAATAAAGTCACATCAACCATACCAGAGACTTTGCCAAGAACATCACAGAAACTTCTAATCTACTTATAAAAAAGTGGCATACATGCTGTAAGAACACTGTGTCCTCTTTACAGATTAAGAATGTCTGTGTGCAAATTAAGAAACCTAACTTCAATTCCTATGATTGAGCTAGGATCTGTACCTACCCAAATACCTAAATGGACATGGCTAATCACCATGCAAGTTTTACACTTCATTGGGACCCACACTGAAAAATATATTTGCCATTATGATCCAACACACAGGTGAAATGTCTACAAAACGCTATTTACAAAGGAGTGGTGGGTGGTGTGTATATCTGTAATCCCAGCATACAGGGGGGCAAAGGCAGGATTTTCATAAGACTTGCCAAGGTTACAGAGTTCCAGATCAGTTTGGGCTATACAGTAAGACCTTGTCTCAAAACAAAATAAAACGACCCTATTTACCTTAGGAATAACATGCTGTTTATAAATCATGACATTTCTTTGAAAGCTGTAATTTACAAAGTAAAAAAAAAAAAACCCAGGATTTAAAAATGCTTAACTGTCTCAATAAGACTACCAAAAAAAGAAAAACAAAAAACAAGTAGAGCCAAGCAACAGAGCTGTGTAATAACTATGAACATAAAAAAAGTAATTCAGAGAAAATACATTATGTACAAACAGTGCTTGGACCTATGCTTAACAATTATATATTGTAAGGAATATTTTAAAAAGTTGTATCAATGAAGATAACAAGTTTCTATTTTTATTTTTTTGTAAAGACTTAATTTTCCTTACAAGCTTGAGTTAAGCAACCAGATAGTACTCTGCTTTTATTATTACTCTTTTGGCACCAAAGCAACTTGTTCTTTCTTAAATATCTCTTCAAAAAAAATCACAGAACAGTTTCCCAACTAACAGTTAGTATACACTTTATACATACATATATACATACAAAAGAAAAACAGTAAAATAAGCAAAACTGTTCTTTCAATCCGTTCACAAGTGAAAATGTTGGCAACAAATAAAACCACGCTCCTCCAAAGACCTTGCGAGCCACATCCTTCCCACCCCTTCCCCCGAATTCTTTCAGTGTATGACACATTAGAGGGAGTGTGTGTGGGGGTCCCCATCTCCATGTCTCCACCCCCCCTCCTTTCCCCGGAGTCAGGAGGACGGGGCCGGGGCACTGGACGGGGGTCTAGCCCTGTTCTCTTCATCCATCAAAGCCTCGCAGTACTGCACGGGCCAGTCCTTGGGGTCCTGGTTGTGGATTTTGGCCACGAACTTCAACACTTTCATCTTGCTCGTCTCCAGGTTGGTGCGGGGACCCCACTGCAGTTCGTAATCCACGGGATCCGTGTGGGGGATGCGCCGGTACTCCAGGTACCGCTGCCGCACGAAGTCCTCGGTGATGAGTTTCTTGGGGTCCCCGAAGATGAGGTGCCGCTTGGTGGGGTACACCCCCAGGCGCCGCAAGAAGTCCCAGACCTCCGTCTCGGTGATGGTGTTTCCCTTCATGAAGATGAGGCCCAGCACGATCATGAGCAGGCCGGCGGCGGGCGTGCCCTGGTCGCCGCGCACCTCGGCGTCCTCCTCCACGGGCTCCAGCGTGTTGACCAGGATGTAGGCGTTGCTGCGCGGCTCCAGCTCCACCAGCTCGTAGCCGAACACGTCGCGCAGGCGCCCGGCCGCCAGGCGCAGCAGCTCCGGGAACACGTCCTTGTAGTCCCCGACCACGTGCTTCAGGATGTCGGTCCGCTTGATCGGGATCTTCTTCTGGTCCTTCACCAGCAGGAACTGCACCAGCTCCGCCACCTTCAGTTCCAGCTGTTTCTGGGTCCGGGGCCCCACGGCCGGCGCGGCCTGGAACCGGCGGCCTCCACCAGGCCCCGGCGCCGGCACCGCCCGGGCGTCCGGCCCGCGGGACGTGCTCGGCGCCTCCTCCGAGACGTCAGCGCTCGGCGACGGGTGGTCTCCGCCGCGACCTCGCTCTCGCTCCCTGTCGGCCAAGGCGAAGGCGCTGGGGCGACCTCGGCTTCGCGGGATTTGCGACATGTCCCCGGGCAGCCGAGCCGGCCGCGGAACTCCTCCGGTGAGGCCCCGCGAGGCTCCGCTCGTAACGGTCCGCACGGAGGGGGGGGGGAGGGAGGCGAATGCGCCTGCGCGGCGCCGGCGAAG